AAATCAGTGCAGAATCTAACATGCATCATATTATCTATAATGAAAAATTTATATCACGGGAAAGTAGTATGGTGTTCTGGGAATCAAAAAACCTAATCTGTAATCTCTTTTTTATTTTTTTCCTTTGTAACCCAGACAATACAAATCGATTCATCAAAACGTATTGATGTCAGAGTTGTATGGGCATACAAATGTGAACATTTTTTTTAGTCCGCAGTGAGCTTTCCACATGAGAAAACAAACACACACACACACACACACACACACACACACACACAAACCTGCAAGTGAAAACTTTACAAGTAATGTTTATAAACACACAAATGTCTTCTGGTTAAAGGAGAGAGCAGGACAAATGAATTAATCAAGAAATGAAATTGTTTCTAAAACTCTCAGAAGGTTTGGCTGCTTTTGGTAACAAATAAGATGTGCTATGCAAAGCAGAAAGAGGAATCAAGGATTCTGCTTCAAGCCTAAGTCTCAAGCAGGAGGACACCACTTATACTGGAAATCCAGGAAGACCCGATTTGATGTGGGAAAGTAGTATGTTTGTCTTTTTGCATAACAAGTTAAAATTACTTAAAGATAACAGCGGTTCTCACAGAAGAGCTGAATAAGAGCTGTAGATTTAGAGAGGTATGGAAAATCCTGGAGCTTCGTTTATTCAAGGGGTTGAAACCATAAGTCTAGGCACATAGAAGGAAAAGCATTTTATTCTCAGGATGTTACTAAGGGATTGACCAGGCCAGAGGTCTGGTATCAAGACTTCAATATGAAGACCGAGAAAAAGAGATAGAGATGGTAAGCCTGTATTCAGAGTTTGCTCAACAGAATCAAGATCTAAGATAAAAACTAGCCTTAAGATGAAGATCAAAAAAAAAGAAAGAAAGGAAGTAATTAGAGATCCCGCATACAAGCTGCACTGAACTAACAGCAAATACCTGTTGCCTTCTTTCTGTTGAAGAAGCACTATCCCTTTTTTAGTGGACATCCCTAAGATTTTTCCTCCTTGAGGAAAAGATGGCTGATTAAGAATTTTACCTGCCTGTTAAATTCAGTCTAAAGATTTGTCACACGGATTCACGGGCTATGACTAAGTTAAGATACAGCTTCCTGAGTGCCAAGAATGACAGACCTGGAAACTACTGGGAGCCATGACGTTCTCAAAGACCATCACAGGTAAAATCCTGGTCAGGCTTCTGGGAAAGATGGAAGGGGACAGTCTTTACAAGATGTCAGCTGTAAAGTGGAGTTGATACTGAGGCTATAAACATTCCCAACCAAGGTGTTCTCTTCCTAGAAAATAACTACAGTAGCTAATATATACTGAGTGCTAACTCTGTGCCAACTCTTCTCATTAATTAACTCTTTTAACTCTGACAACAGTCCTATAGATTCCTTCTCTCCACGTCACCCCCCGAAACAGGTCCTACAAGTTAAGGAATTACACACAAGGGTTAATTGGCTTCTCAAATTCCACAGCTAGTAAGAGTGGAGCAAGGATTTGCATCAAGCACTCTTGTTGTATAGTCATTGCTCTTAGGGTTACCATGATAACGGCCAAACAAAACCAAACCCATTGCCCATCCAGTCAGTAGTTCGAATCAACCAGCCACTCCTTGGAAACCCTACAGGGCAGTTCTACTCTGTCCTGTAGGGTTGCTATGAGTCAGAATAAACTCAATGGCAACAGGCTTGTTTTTTTTTTTTTTTGAATTTAAAAGTGTATGTCCTGCTTTTCATCTAATCTGAAGCAAGAAGTTTCACAGCATTTCAAACTGGGAAATCCTATGCAGATGCTTCAGCAATGTTTGCAATACACATTTTGAATGACTAGCTGTGCAAGACTCAAACATCAAGTAAGTGTTAGGAGACCACTTATCCTCAACTGACAAACATTCTAATGAAAAAAAAAAAAAAAACCTTCCCAGTTTTCTGTTTTCTTAATTGACTTTGTTAACATGAAATGGGTTATACATTGTGACTTATGTGAAATCACTCAGTATCACTACCATTGCTGTAGAGTCGATTTTGACTCATAGCTACCCTACAGGACAGAGCAGAACTGCCCCATAGGGTTTCCAAGGAGTGGCTGGTGGATTCCAGCTGCCGACCTTTTGGTTAGCAGCCGAGCTCTTAACCAAGGCACCATCAGGGCTCCTAGTATCACTAAGAATGCCTTTTATGTGGACCACTCTGTATGACTTTCATGGTTAAAAACCATTTTTTATTCAAATGCCTTACAAGCACCTTGGAAAATGAGTTCTATTATTATCTCCCATTTTAAGATGAAAAGAAACAGACATTATGCAGATTAACCAATATCACATCACATCACAGTCTTTAGAATAGTAAAATTATGTAAACGTGGTATTCACAATGGACGAAAGGGCTCTCCAAATCAAATTCTAAGCAAACCTACTGACATCGAGTTGATTCTAACTCATAGCGACTCCATTAGGTTTCCAAGGCTGTAAATCTTTATGGAAGCAAACTGCCACATCTTTTTCCCATCCAGCCACTGGTGGTTTACAGCCACGAACTTTTCAGTTAGCAGTAGAATGCTTTAATCATGGCACCACCAGGGCTCTACATATATATGTACATATCACATCACAGGATTCTATAGAAGCCACTCACTTCTCTAAGAAAAATGCAATTCCTTAACCTCATATCAGACATATGATTAACTCACACGAACTTTTAAAATTACTTTATCAGAACTAGTAATAGACAAGAACTTTGTATATAATTTATTAAAAATAGCTTTGGCAAATCTTTGTTTTGATGGAGCAGTAATGAAACTATTGAAAATATAAACTAATTGTTGAATTAACTACTCAACGTTTATCCTTAAAAAATAATTATTATAAGCCACCTTGGGAATTCAAGACAGCCACATTATTAACAATCATAAGCAATATTTATACATTTTAAATGTCAATATAGTCAATATACATATAGAATCCATTGACTAAAATCTGTCATAAAATCTAACCTGGGTTTTTATTGACTATTAATTTTAATTTTGTCTTATTTCAATATTTAAATAGTTTGGCCCTCTTCTACATTTGTAAAGACTGTAATTTTGAAATATTAAAAAATAACTTTACAGTCACCTGGATGTGACTAGCCATCTCATCTAAAAAGGTATAAAATAGTTACCCCTAGATAGTTTTCAAGATACCTTATTTCAAAAAACTCACCGTGCTGCATTTATAAACGGTATCCTATCCTAAATATGTGAACTGCAAATGTGCTATTATGTACTAAATATCCGCACCCCAATTTTAATTACACCATTCCTTCTGTTAATACAGAATGTGTTTCTAATTAAAACATGACATAGTTCTACAGTTTCAATGACATAAATAAAGGTTCTTTGTTGAGAACATAATGAAACTATCACCAAGATATTTGAAATAAAGGTAACATTACATGGGTTTTCAGAATGTACATATGCTTACACAAAACAGAACAAGAAAGAAATAATGGACTTTTTAAGGGAAGATAAGAAATATAACTTCTAAAAATATTTGGATTGTATATCTCCAGCAGGACATTTTAAAGATAAAGAGAAGCGAGAGATAAAGATAGAAAGACACCATTTGGTATTTCAGAGACCAAAAACTAGCAAGAGTAAAAATACATTCCAAAGGCATTTTTCAAACTTAAAATTCAAGGTAGGTAACAGAGAAGATGTACATTCTGAGCAGGATTTTATATAGAATCAAACCTAGAAACTATAAACTCCAGTAAAATGGAATTGTAGTAACAGTCAAGGCCTGATAGGAAGACTCCCTTTGCATTATGCAGAAAGGTCACGCTAGAAGAATAAGACAGTATCAAGAACACAATATACACAGTTTAGAATAAGAACATTTTTTAAGCACCCCACAAACAATTGATTAATTGGAGATGATGTTAAAGCAATTTCTCTACAATTAGATTATACTTCAAGAAGTCTATAATGTAGAATTGAATTAATTAAATTTTAATGCACAATTAATTGTCATCATTATACCCAAATGTAAACAGTGGAGATTTCCTTGGTTTTTCTCTCTGCAGATTTCCTTGGGTGGAAGACAAGCAAGTAGAAACCATGCAAAAATTGGAAAATGTGTGTACTTATTTATAGTGTCTGTCTCTCTATAAACGTGTATTTGGCCAATGAGCTTCCATCAAAATAAAGAGGGAAAGCCCCAGATATAGCATCTTCTACTTTTAAAAAAGTCCTGGCTTATAACTGAAAAAACAACAAAAAGATGGTAAAGACACTGGCTTCTGCAGACTTCTTAGGGCACGCTCATCTCTTTATGCATGTTTCTGCTAGTGTCCTAAACTTGGGCTCCAAGTGATCCAAAAATTCAAGCCCATCGTCTTCTTGTCTTTCACTGCAACAGCCTACAGAACCAGCCACTGATCCTTTGCCTTCATAGCTGTACGTAAGGACATATTCTTGAACAGGATTATAATCGTCATTCTGATTACACAGCTGCACCTTCTGCCAAAAAGAAAAACACAACATATTTTATTATTATTATTTTAAACACCAAAACATATTAACATAAAAATAATTGCTTTGATTTACCTTTCCTTGTTTAATTTTTAATCAGAGTGTGTCCTCTAATGGATTCCTACATATAGAAAATGCACATGATTGGTCTATATCATAAATCACACTATAAATTCAATATATAGCAGGTTTCTAAAAATCACACCTGTGGGCAGCAAGTACACAAGTGTAAGTACTCACTACTTTCTCTTTCACAATTATTGCTGAAAGCAAAATGCATCCATTAAGCTGAAACCAAACTGATGTGAGTGGGCGCCGATCTTTCCAGAAAGGCACAGTGACTATGCACACCAGTACTGCCTCCCGCCACACTTTGCTTTCTAAGACATGAGTTGTTGAGTGGGAAATATTAGCCCAAAGTCGTAAGAAAAGTAATTTAAATATCACCATTCATTATTTCTGTAGGAGAAGTAAAAAACAAAATAGGAAGAAAAATAAATATCCACTTGCATCTGAACATAATTAAGTCAAAACTGGGGGGAAATAACTTTCCAGTGAATAGATTAATAATTACAATAAAAATCAGGCCACTAAACTGCAATCATTTAAAAGTTTAAAAGAAAATCAGAACAGGTTTGTAGAACACAGGGAAACTCACTTCTCCAAGACGAGGCTGAGTGAAACTCTGCCACTCCGAGTAAGCGTATCTGCAGTTTTCCACGTCCACTTGTCCTCCCCTGCAGGAATCCAGCGTGTGGTGTCCTCCTCCCTTACACGATTCCAGGGTGTGCTGATGCCCTGCCCCCTGGCAGGATTCCAAGGTCTGCTGTCCTCCTTTCACCATCTCAATGGTTTCCTGTCCTCCAGTTTTGACCCCTGATCCCATGGTACCACAAACTGCCTGAGCAGAACTGCCCACAGTATGGGATGTAAACTCATTTGCGGCATACTGAAATAAAACAATTTGCAATGGGGAAAGACAGAGGTGAGCAATAAATTATGAAAAAGAACAGCACCGTTCATGTAATGCCATGTTTGTTTGCTTGTTTGTTTTTGTGCTAAAAGGTAAGCTGAGGACAGGGACCAAGTCTGTCTTGGTAATTCTGTGTGTCTAACTAAGATGGGCTAGGAAGAAAGGCTTGGTGATCTACTTCCAAAAATCAGCCAATAAAAATTCAATGGAGCACAATGATCTATCTGATCTGTAATCCATCATGGGAATGATCACAGGACCAGGTAGTGTTTTGTTCCACTGTGCATGGAGTCGCCACGAGTTGGGGGCTGACTCAATGGCAGCTTACAACAGCAACTATTATAAGCCAAGTACAGTACTTAATGGAGTGCTAACACAGAAAAGAAATTACAGATGTCAAGTGGTCTGTACTCTGACAGATCAGATATGTATGTACACTCCTTTTATGTACACTCCTTTCTTAACACCTTCCTAGATGCACACCTGTGTTTATTCCAGCATTATTTACAATAGCAAAAAGATGGAAACAACCTAACTTCCCATCAACAGATGAATGAATGGATAAACAATGATACATACACACAATGGAATACTATGCAGCCATAAAGAATGATGAGTTCTCAAAATATACTGTAACATGGATGAATCTGGAGGACATTATGCTGAGTGAAATAAGTCAATCACAAAAGGACAAATACTGTATGATCTCCTCTCTCTTAGAAAAAGATAAAAATAGGTATACATACAGAAAGCAACATTCTTTGACCGTTACCAGGGATGGGAAGAAGCGGGGGGTGGGGGGGGAATCACTTTCTAGACAGTAGACACTTGTTAGTTTTGATGGGTAAGGCAATACCAAATAAGGGTTAAGTCAGCACAACTTGACCAGGGTAAAAGACGACACTGAGAAATACACAAGAGTAAGGAAAGATTTTGGTAAAAGCCACAACATATGCAATTTTGCAACAACAGTAATAACAACTAAAAAAATGTGTGAGTTTACACAGGTAGATATGTATGCTTATATATGTATAGGTAAGCACCGATGAATATATAGGTGCACATATATAGGTGTTTCTGTAGGCAAATGTATATACATATTTGTGTGTGCTGCATATATATTCGTATATAAAATAAAGCACTTAAGGGGCACAGTTAGGGATACTTCCTAGACATAACCAAACATCAAGTGGCATTGGGTTACTGGGCTTGAGGGCTTAGGACCATAATCTCAGGGGGAAATTCAGTCAATTGGCATAACATAGCTCATAAAGATAATGTTCTACATCCTACTTTGGTGAGTAGCGTCTGGGGTCTTAAAAGCTTGTGAGTGGCCATCTAAGATACAACTATTGGTCTCTACACATCTGGAGCAAAAGAGAAAGAAGGAAACCAAAGACTCAAAGAAGAAACTAGTCTAGAGGACAAAGAGTCTACATGAACCACAGCCTCACTTACCTTGAGACCAGAAGAACTAGATGGTGCCCGGCTATCACTACCTACCATTCAGACCAGGGACACAATAAACGGTTCCAGATAGAATGGGAAAAAAAAAATGCTGAACAAAACTCAAAATCCTAAAAAAGGCAAGACTTGCTGGACTGGTGGAGACTAGAGAAACCCCCAAGACTATCATCCTAGAATACCCTTTAAACTTGTAACTCAAACCACTCCTGAAGGACACTTATCAGCCAAAAGACAGAGTGGCTCATAACATAAATAAAATCACCTGTGAATACTGTGCTCCTCTAAACAATCATCTAAATGAGACCTAACAGTCAACATTTACCCTAGACCAAATATGAGAATGTAAGGGCAGGGGGGAGGAAGGAATCTAGATTAATGGAAATAGAACAACCAGAATGGAAATAATGAGAATGCTGACACATTATGAAAAGTGTAACCAATGTCACTGAATAATATGTATAGAAACTGTTAAATGAGAACCTAATTTGCTATGTAAATTTTCTCCAAAATCACAATAAAATATTTTTTTAAAAAAACCTCTTTAGGATACTGTGCAATGTCACTTGTTAAGTTCCCCCAGCTTCAGCTTCTCACAACTCAAAATCGGGACTATTGTATGCTTGTCTTCACATATGTACCCTGCTTAGTTTAACTTTATTCCCCTTTACTCGACTAGAGCTGAAATAGTCATCATGATTAGCATTTTTATTCAGTGTCTAATTCAGTCTCCCTTCAACTAAAACAAGAACAGGAATAAAGTTGCCACAACAATCTTAACTGCAGTAATAAATCCTTGCAATATAAATAAACAAAAGTGAATCAGGCAGGGAAAATATCAAGACCACCAAAGCTTTGGCCACTCACTCTCTGTGATTGTTTTTGTAGGAAACTCTAAGTTTTATTTTTTCAATCTCTTCCTACATGCCACCTTTCTTTTCTTTTCAAAATCTTTCCTGCCCTAATCATCGATTATGCTTATTAAATGGAATATAATTACTCCTCCTCCACAACTGGGCTAGAAAACAAAGTTGGAGCAGAGTAATCACTTGCTAGAATTACTGCTGCATATATCTGACCTCAGGATTCATTCTAACCTATATTAGAGCCATAAAGAATCCAAGTCATTCCAAATCCAATTCAAGTCATTCCCACACTGATCAAAGCTTGTAGTGATTTTATTTCTGGTGCCAGGAAAAAAAAAATTAAGGCAATTATGCCGGTGGTCTTGAATCATTAAATGAAACATCTTAACAACACAAACAGCAGTTTAAAAATATACAAAAGGCCAGGACTAAAAATGAAACCACAAAACATTTGAAGCAGAAAATAATAATGACATGCTAAAGTATTTACTATTAAAGATCACCATATAGCCAAATTGAAATACCTATACTACCGCAGGAATCATTGTCATTTTATCTGTCCCATGAAAGTGACAACACTTTATGTATTGTAAGTTATCTGATATCAAAATACTTCACTGAGAAAAGATAATTATAGCGAATGAGGGCAATTTATCTTTTGCATTTCTTAAAAAAGACACATTACTTACCACTTTGTCATCTCCAGGAGCTTCAGTGTTTGACACAATTAGGTTCTGTTGAGCTAAATCATCTGGAAATGTTTTTTGTTGTTTGCCTCTCCCAGAAGCCCCACAGACTAGTGCAAATAGAATACCTAGAGGAAGAAAAAAGAATGTACTCAAGTTTATCATAAAAGAGCGTGAAGTTATGAATATATAATGATTAATACACAGGTGGAGTCCTTTGGTGGTGCAAATGGTTAAGTGCTCCATTACTAAGTGAAAAGTTGGCATTCGAACCCACCCAGACACACCTAGGAAGAAAGGCCTGGCAATCTGCTTCTGAAAGTCACAGCCTTGAAAACCCTATGGATCAATTCTACTCTGCACACAAGGAGTCACCATGAGTCGTAATCAACTTGACAGCAATGGGTTTGGTTTTTAAAACACAGGTAAATCATAAATATAAAAAGTGTATATTAAAAGAAGATAGCTTTCCAGACCACATAAGTATGATTGCTTATGTCTAAGCAGTATGCAATAGAAAAGTTTGCCCTAAACAGATATGGTACAAGAAAGGGTATGCTAAATGCTGTATTTCTACATTGAAGTTTATTTCTATGCTGAGAAGACACTAGACCTATAAATAAATGCATTCAAACATATAAATTAAATATATTTGTGTAATGAATGGAAATACAGCTACATACAAATGAATAGCTACAGTTAACAGTGTTGATTTTAAGAATGTGTCTTAAAAGTTATTTTAAAGGCTATTATTTGAATTCATAAAAGACTTACTAAATAGCAATGCTATGCCCAACAATATTGCAAGGATGGCCCACGTTCCAAGTTTTACTTGTCTGTTGCCAGTTTGTGGACTTCTATAATCTGTGCAGTCACTTTCAGTAACACAGTCGCATAGCACAACATCTACTGAAGTGACTTTAGACTGGCCCTGTCTATCTGTGACTCTGATAGGCACTTTGTATAATCCAAATGGAAGGTCATTCTGATAGAAAAGATGTGCTGCCGTATCTGAAAGAAAATAAAACCAAATGTTATACAATGCTGCTGAAATTTTCTCCTGAATACAAGTAACCAAATACAGAATATTTATCATACTTCCCTACAAATGGACATTCCTGATGGAATGAATGGCATAACTGCTACAAGACTGTAAATGAGAATGGGCTGTGTAGATCTATTTTACAACCATTACAAACTTACTGCATATAAAAGTTTGTCTCTACTGCCACTTAACAAAGGTCTTTTGGTTTTTGGAATAGCGCATTTTAATCCATCCATAAACAGATTATTCCTGCCATAACTAAGGGACTAGTTAAGATACTGGTTTTTATCATATTTTAAAAATACCTAATTAATCCATTTAGTGTTATTCCCTTTTATACCTGATTCATCAGAAAGTAACTGAATGTCTGGATGTTTCCTCCTACTTTGTTTTCATATATTGTGCTAAAAAAATGTAAATACTCGTGTTTTATTGTCAGACACTTATTTTGAAGATTTAGAACACAGATGACCCTTCAAGAAATTAGCAGGCCATGCGTCATGCTGCTGGGACTTCATCTCGTGGTCTTAAAGGATGTAGGGACCAGCTATACTTTCTCTTATTGTTTTTTATAGATCAAGGATAGAAAATATCCAGATGAAATGTCAATACTGTCTTTGGTAGAGAGCCAGAGATATAATACTATTCTGAATATTGATGCCACATATCAGAGAATAACCCTCTCCCACTTAACTCGCCTGCCGTAACTTTCCCAATTTAAAAAAATAGTGTTTGAAGTCCTAAGTAGAAATTTGAATGTTTGGGTGAGAACTCATGCAGTTAAATCAATTTTAAAAGAAAGCATGATTAAAATGTTGGTGCGCTACTGACTGTTCTAATCGGGGCCATAGTAGATGGACCCGATAGAATGGGAGAAAATTGTGGAACGGAGCCTCAAATTCCAACCACAAAAAAATCAGACTTCCTGGACTGATTGAGTCTGGAGGACTCCCCAAGACTACTGCCGTGAGATACTCTTCAAACTTTGAACTGAAACTAACCCAAGGTCACCTTGTCGCTAAATAACAAATTGGCTTAAAAATAATGAATAGCACCCAAAAGCGTTGATCCTTTAAAAAATCACCTCTATAAGACCAAATGGTCAACAACCACTTTAAAACAAAGATAAGAATGTAAGGAGGCAGGGAAGCTAGATGAACAGAAATGGAACAACCAGAATGGAAATAACGAGGATGTTCACGCATTGTGAAAAATGTAACCAACATCACTGAACAACTTGTTTAGAAATTATTGAATGGGAACGTAAACTGGTGTGTAAACCTTAACCAAAAACACAATAAAATATTATTTTTTTAAGTAAAGTCTATTATGTAAGAAATAATGATACTAACAAAGCCAAAACATGTGATCCATAAAGTGTCATGTTCTATTACATTCATTAACTCACTTAGCCCCCAAAAGTCCCATTTTGCACATGAAGAAGTTGTATTCATGAAGAATAAATAACATGGCCAAATATACGTAACAAATAAATAGTGGAACCAGGGTTTAACACTGAGCCTGTTTGACTTCAAAAGCTTTGTACAGTAAGTTGTTCTTAGACTGATGTTTTCCGGATTTTGAATTATCTCACAGACCAGTATAAGTTTAAAATAATAAAGTTTTGACCAACATCATGCTGCCAATGTTTTTTTATTTTTTGCTAAATAAGAATAATAAAAAATAAAAACAAAATCACTGCCTGTTATTGAATTATTTATAAAAAAATCATATTGTGACACCAAATAAGTAGAAAGGGCAAAATATAAGAAAAAGGTTAATTCTTTCCAAGAAAGAAGAGCTGGCAACCTTACACACACACACATATACATCAACATCAGGACACTGTTGTAGAAAACGTGAAAATGCTGTCATCATGTATTGTCAGTACTCAGAGCAGAATTCAGGACACAGAGCCTTAACTTAGCACCACGGCTTCTTCTTCATGCCTTTGTTTTATTTTCCAAGCCCGTTTTCCCTGTGTTATCTCACAACCTTTCTTTTTTAATCTGTCATAACAGGAAATCAAAGCCTGTTCATTGAAAGCATGGGGTTGAAAAGTGTTGAAGAGCACATCAGCTGACAGCTGATAGTCAGTCAAGAAAGCTGGAGTCCAGGTAGACCATGACACTGGGGTCCAGGGACAATGTGGGCAGGAGACTGAGGACTGCTGAGAGTTAAGAGCTGATGTAAGCAGTGGTGCCACGAAGGTGTGAGGAAGGGTTCCCTTCCTTCAGTCATTCTTGACACGTTAGATTCTGTGTTGAACCAGAGTCACAAGTATGGACTGGGAATCAAGGTGGGGAAGAATCCCAAGTAGCACACAACAGAGAAGAAATGGAAGCTAACATGGTGGCAAGAAGCAGGATGGTGTGGTGGACAGTGTGATGCACACCCACGTCCCCCTTGTGTTAGAGCTATTAAAATAGCTTTGTTTGGAGTGGAAATAAGAATTCATGCAACACCTAAGTGAATCTTGGCACAAGATTAGAGATAGACAGGAGATAAAGCCACCTCCCACCATACCAAAACTAAGAAAGGTGCTGTCTTCCATCCATAGTTTCTACACAGTGAATTATTCTTCTATTGCACCAAGAACAATATATTTTAGACAGTCTGATGCTGAAAAGAACAAAGCAATGCTCAGGACTACATACCATTAATTTTTCTCAGTTCCCACATTCTCTGTAGATTTGAATCAGAAGCACTGTCCAGCTTGAAGTCAAAGGGTGGGCCATGTATAGGTTCATCAGGATCAACAGCAACAATCTTCGCAGAAGACATAGTGGTTTTACAGATTATCACTGTCTGTTTAGGTATGAATGGGCCATTATCATTCACATCTTCAAGTATAATTCCCAGTATCCCAGTACATGATCTTCCATCTATAAAAACGAAAATAAAAATACAGTTTCTTTATGTTTTGAGTTTTCACCAGGAGGTTATAAATGGAAAATATTTTAAAATATCTATTAAGCATCTATAACGTATAAGTTATAGTGACAAACAGCATCACAGGTTATGTCCTCCGGGAATATTAAAAGAAAAACCTTATTATTTTTAAATGGGTTTTACACACAATAATTGCTATTTGGATGTGATCTTTCATTCACTAAATAGCTGGAATAGACGTGAGAATTTTTATAGAGGTGAGTTTTGACTGATTTTTAAAAGAAGACAGGAAGAGAGTATGAACAAGGGCATTTCTGGAAACTTAGCAGATGGGAAAGCACAGTACCCTCACAGCATAATCTGGGGACAATGAAGGGAAAGACAGATAGACAGGGGTTGACACTGGAAAGAAGGGCTAGAGCTCCTTGAATGCCAGAGAGGGAGCGTAGAGTTTAATATACAAATAGAAAGCATGTAAGGTTGGAGCAGAAAAACTGAATGCTAGAAAATATATATTTGGACAATTAGAACAAAAAGTAGTACTTGGAAATTTTTGGAGTCTGGTGGTGCTCCCATGGAGCAGCTGGTGGACTCGAACAAGCAACCTTATGGTTAGCAGCAGAATGCTTAACCACGGCGCCACCAGGACCCCTTACTCTTACACTAACTATACTAAAATATTTGAAAGTATTTCCCTCAAAAAAAAAGCTAGAATAATACAACAAAAATTGAAACCTAAAACCCACCTGGGTGAAACTGCCAACAGTTTAGACTGAGAAGCAGTTGAGAAGAAAAGAGAAACTGTATTCAAAGCTTATGAAACACCTATAATTAGCAGGAAGAGAGCAAAACCAGAAAATGTGCAGAAAAGAGAAAAATGTGTAGGAACGTATACACGTAGAAGCTTTGGGAGAGAGTTTTAAAAGGAGAAAACGCTCCATAGAGACAAGTGCTGTGGCGAAGTAGGAGGGTCACGCACGAAGAGAAAGCATTTTTCATTAGAAAGGAATACTGAAGGCCCAAACGAAATTAGCCTTCACAGATTCTAGAGAAAAGTTAAAAAAGAAAAAAAATGACAATTTTTCTGTCAGTCATAAAAAAAATAGTCTCAGTTTATAAAAATAATTATTCATCCATAATGCATGTCTGGGAGGTAACACAATGATCTCTCATTCTCTTTAAAAGAAATGAACCAGAAAGGCCCCATCACACATTGACTCTGTACCACAATGATGATTAACAATGCATCATCTACCCTCCACAGAAGTACTTGATCTCTCAGTTATACATTGCAGCACAGGAAGATGGAGAAGAAAAGTATAAAATCAAAATCTCTCACTTCACATAGTAATTTTTGTCTCATCTCTCAACAGATTATCTGTCAAGTGTTGTTAAAAATGTAAAAATTATGGATTTGATTTTCACGTAATTTTTCTTTTTATTTGCCTTTGACTGAAAAGCAAATAAAAAGAAGAAAAATAACATGAAAATAACAAGGGAAGCTGAGAACTTATTGGACAGTCTTCAATTAGTTGAAAGTAAATCAATAACTACAACTTTGCCAGCTCAAGCAATTGATAAAAGAGCCTTCTCTCATTAATTTAGAGAGGATTTGGAACACCTAAGAATCTTCCAAAATCACTTCTAAACTCTGATTTTGCAAGTGAATGTGTAATATTTATGCTTATTGTAGTTAGCATATTTATTTTAGAAAGGTAAAAAGTTTAAATGTATGTTTTGTTAAAATTATATTTCATGTACAAAACAGTCTCATATAATCATTTTGCTCATATTTCTTCAATTTTATGGAACTTACAGGATATTATTTTACATATTATATGATTATAAGGATTCCTAGTTTTGTCTCTGTAATTTTATAATATGCTAAGAATCATGACAATGATTTAACTTTCATACAATGCCCATAAGCAGAAATCTAATCACCAGGCGTATTTCTAGCTTCCTGTCAAAAGCTACTAACTGTTGTCTAGGAGTGTGCTATGTAGCAATTAGTATGCATTCCCTGTAATGAACTTTCCTGCCAGAGTGAATATTTTAAGAGCAATGACAAGATAAATTGAAGATAATTTTACTAATGTAACTTCCTCAATTTTTAATGATTGTTTGACTTTAATAAACTATGATTTCAAGTATTTCTATGAATAAGTCATTTTATAATTATATCTAAAAATGGAGGATGTTATTAGAAAGCAGACATGAGTTAATAAATTATAGCAAACCTCTTAGTTTTCCCTATATGTCATTCTGGGGAGAAATATAAACTGAGGATGTACATAGCTGGCTTAAAGTTCTTACCTTTGTCTGATGCAAGGATTGTGACATTATATATACTATTTCTGACGGCCTCTGCTTCTCTATCCAGGCTTGTAAAAATTGTGATTGATCCCGAATTTTCATCAACACTGACCCACCCTTTTGGATCATTTAATTTCTTATACCTGTTAATTACAATGAATTAAAACAATAAAAGGTATAGTGAGCTAAATTATAATATTGTATCAAAATAAGTTTGAAAACCAAACTTAATTCAGAGTTAACTAAAGTAGAATTAGAAATACCTTATGCCACTGCTACTTCTGGTTTCTGGGTCATAAGCCTTATATCCATCGCTCTGTGTTCCCACGGGTGCATCTTCTTTAATTCGAACAGTTTGTACCAGAGGGCTACACTCTGGACCCTCATTCTGGTTTTCCACATTAACGGTAACTGTCGCTGTGCTCGTGGCTGATCTCAAAGCTGTAGCCTCTTTAGAATATGGTGCTTCATTAACGACATCAATTTGCAGGACTACCTGTTGTCTTTCTTCATAATTCAGAGCCTACAAAAGCAAGTGTGTTGAAACTCAGATCAAGTCCTTTAAAATTTGGCAATGCTAACTAACTAGTTAAAAAGATAACTAGTTAAAATTAGATATACGTAAATGTTGTGTTGGGGATAATCATGAGAATAGTAAACACACACCCAGAAACATGGTAGGGGGGGAGTGAGAGGGCTCCTTCCGCTGACTCAGTTATTTGTGTGACACAAGCAAAAAAAAAAAAAAAAATTTCCTCAACTTCAGATTTTTCACAAGTAGTATCGTGGGTTCTGATAAAGATTTCAGAAAGTATTTAATAAAGCTGCTTGGAGGTTAAGACTTGATACTACTTTAAGCCATTCATACCTAGCCAATAGTTACTTACTTATCACTCTATTAATATGTGGACAGTTAGTCCTATTCTTGTGAAAGAAAACTATTACCTGTGCCTGGTTTGGGGTAGAAAAAGTGGGTCAAATTTTACAAGATACTTTTAAAAGAGGAGGACTATGAAAAAGGAAAGCTTATGGAGATTATGCTTTCCTTTTCATCTCTTTTATCCAAATTACAAAGTGCCCTGGTGGCACAGTGGTTAAGCACTTGGCTGCTAACTGAAAGGTCAGTGATTCGAATCCACCAGCCGCTCCATGAGCAAAAGATGTGGCAGTCTGCTTCCATAAAGATTAAAGCCTTGGAAACCGTATGAAGCAGTTCTACTCTGTCCTATCAGGTCGCTACGACTCGACAGCAATGGTTTGGTATCCCAGTTACTTTCTTAAAAACTGGCAGCACCAAGTTTGATGAAAGGTTTAGTTTATTCTGCCTGATGTATAGCTGTAGTGAGAACGGGCAAAACTACTTTCTGGAAGACAGACATTTCATCAGGTCTCGGCCTTCACAAAGACAAATTTCCTTCTTAGAATACCAAGGATTAGGGCAGGGGTTGAGTGAAGATAAAGAGATAAGATACAAAAGACATTGCTGTTTTGAAAAAGAAATCAATCCACAAACTGCAGTTAATTTTCATTACCGTAAAGAAAAAAGGATTCATCATTTTTGATCCATGCCACCTGAGAATACATACAAAAGGGAAATTCCACAGATCCATGATAGAATCATATTCTAGCTAAAGATGTGGCAGAGATAAGAGTGTGACTTTTTCCAAGGCAAATGGAGTTCAGATCACTTGAAGGACTAACTCTGGCTCCTGAACCAGCAGTGAGTACCTCTGAGAGGCTGTAGGACAGCAAGAGGAAGGGGGTTTTAGAAGTATCTTTATCTTTGAATGGTTGAGGATGCCCATTCTAAACCTGGATGCCAAGGATGTTATGTACAACAGATGCGAATGAACCGACCTACAAACAGCCTCTATATGGGTCTGACCAGGAGTAACACATCATTTGAGCAATTCAGTAATCCAGTGGCAGCTCCCTGACCCAGCTACAGAAAGAATGGGCTAGGAAAGTTTAACACTGCCCCATTGGCATCAAAGCTCTGCTAGTTTTTGAATTGTTAAGAGATGATGATTACAAAATGGATACTACATCATATTAGCTAAAAACACACACATGATATTTTCTTTAAATCATGCCTTTAAAAATGTTTCTCAAAAATAAATGTAGTCATTCGATTACATATATTATGAACATTTCATTTACATTTACCTATGTATTTATTTTACTCCTACACTTACCAGAATTGCTTTCATTTTCATTTCAGGAATTGTAGGAATAAAACTAATTTATAGGTAAATGTAAATGAAATGTGTATGTTAACCTATGAAATTATAAACAACAAACATCTGAATTACCAATTTATGTATTCTTACCTTAACCACACACAGAACTCCTTCATTGGTTTTGGGATCTGTTACAATTTTAAAATTTCCATTTTCATTGCCCTTGAAAATGGTATAATTGGCTCTCCAATTAGCAGTATTAATTAAATCCTTATCTTCAACAGTAACACGTAAGATTTCCACATCAATTATATTTTCTACCACTGATGTCACATACTGAAATAATAAAAACAAAAAAAACAAAAACTTTTATTAGTAAGTTCCACAAAAATAGAATACCATGTAAAGTAAGCCCCATTCTTTTAATTTCCAAAGCATCGTGTTTACCTAGCTTTAAACCTTAAGACCAAACTGCTATCATGTCATTGGGGGTACTTCATTCGAAATCATGAGGCATGGGTGGAGATGAGCATATTTAGCAGTTAATACTGCGGTACATATCTTTTTCTGTTATCAATGTCATGAACTTACAGAAGTACGAGTAAATGTTGGTAAGTTGTCATTCACGTCTTCAATATTAATGATGCAAGTTGCAGTAGTCTGCAAACCAAAATATTGACCATCCATGTCTTGTACTTTTATTTTCAACTGGTACCTATCAATTACCTGAAAACAAAGTAAAAATTGAATTATTAGATAAAAGCAATAACATTATAAATGAAACTTTAATTTATACTCTAATTTTCCTTGCATTAATGATTTAAGAGGTACATTATTAAATTTCATATCTTTTATGTACCGGCAGGAGAATAATTTCCTCACACTAGTAATTTTCAAGTAAGCCATGAAAATACAGTCGTTTGTCAAACTTAAAGTGCTATTAACTTTGTAGATTATAGAGTCAGTTGGTTTTATCTTTATTCAATGGAGAAGAGATGTAGCCATACGTACATTTAAAACTGCCTGGTAATTAATCAAAATCTTACGTCCTATCCAAAGTACGTTCTTACATTCAAAAATATGTAGCAGTGACTCATATACCAGTCTTGTCATAAAACAATTAAGTAAAATATTGAAGTCACCTTGAAACTAAGTAACCAGTCTACAGAGGACCAAATGGACAACAGCTGTTCTAAAGCATAGACTAAGACGTTGGGGGACAGGGAGTTTAAGTCAATGGAAGTGAAACAACTAGAACAGAAATAACAAGAATATTGACACAATGTGAAGAATGTAACCAATGTCACTGATCATTGTCTAGAAACTGTTGAATGGGAATGGGTGTTGCTGTATGTATCTCCACCAAAAATAAAATGTTATTAAAAAATACATCTTAACGATTTACTTGACATTTATAAAAAGATCATTAAATTAGTATGGAAACAAAGGTCTGGAGCTATGTTACTTTTTTTCTTTCCATGGAAAATAGAACCTGGCCTTAGGGTTTCCCATTCACCACACAATGAGCTAAGCCATCAATCTTTAATTTTGGCATCCAGGCCGTTCCAGAGCAGAGGATTCATCACCAGTTTTAAAAAATGTGTTTCTCCCCATAACAGTTTCATTTATCATAAGTGACTGAGTTATGGAAGGATTAAAAACAACACTAATAAAAATGCCTTCTGGACTGGGCATTAAGAGACTTGGGCTCCATCACTAACTCAAAAAATAGTACACGTAATCTCAGGCAGTTAGAAAATTCTCTTTGCCTAGATTTCCTCTTCTATAAAATGTTGATAATAACATCTATCCTATTTTGCCCCTTTCATAAGACAAAATATGTGAAAATCTATCCTAACCTTCTACCTAAAATGTTCACCCTTCTCTGACAAAGCCACCTTATTCCCTTCATTCCATTATCTCTTAAGCTTTCTTGTCCTCATGTATTATCTAAAATAAAACATTTCTCCCAATGCCTGATTTATACGCAATAATTTCCCTGATTTACTCTTCCCTCATAATCAATCACATATGCAGACTTGAAAAATAGTGGTCTTTTTTAATTAAAAAATTTCTGAAAATCTCATGCTAGTATACTTTCAGGAGGGGATACATATCTTGTAGTGAACTAAGATTTATTGGAAATAATCAATTGGCTGACAAAACAAAAACAGAAATGAAGTTTTGTGACCCTCAGTATTAATCTGTGGTATCTTTAGACAAAAGAGAAATTATGGTGTTTAAAGGGTTTAGAGAATTGAGGGTAACAGCTGAAAACTGCCATCTTGAGGTTAAAAAGTTGCTAGGAAGCACTATTGGGTAGAAGCAATCCAAGACTCTTGTTAGTCAAATGTTTACAACTGATTCTGTCAGAAGGGTCTATTCAAGACTTGATTATAAAAAAAATTGGTTTACAGTGTCCTTTTCCTGAGCACATGAAAACTGTACAATTTATAGCACTAAAACCATTCATTCATATATTCATTCACTCAGCAAGCATTTAAAATATACATGATATTGTTCTGAGCCGACAATTCTCAGTGTGATGCGTGGGTCACTTATGGGGTCCAGACACCCTTGTAGGGGGTCTGTGAGGTCAAACCATTTTTCATAATAATTCTAAGATGCTATCCACCTCTTTCACTGTGTTGACATCTGCACCATTACGAAAGAAATGGTGAGTAAAACTGCTGGTACCTTAGCATGAATCAAAAAAGGGACCGAAACTATACATGTATTTACTGTATTCTTTATGGCACACACTCACAGTAAAAATAAATTAAAATATAAATGACAAATACGTTCCAGTTTCACTTAAGAACATCCTTGTGGAAGTAGTGAAAATGAAAAATTTTATTAAATGTCAACTCATATCCTACGTGAAGAAATGGGAAGTATGCATGAAGCACTTCTTCTACATATGGTATATTGCAGTTAGCTCAAGGAAAGTACTTGTGCAATTACTTGATTTGTGTGCTGAACTAGCTGTTTTTTCTTTTTTTTTCATGGAACACCATTTTTACTTGAAAGAATGACTGATAGAGGAAGACATTTTGTCCAATATAAATAAAGTGAGTCTGTCACTTCAAAAAACACAACTATTTGTTGCCAATGATCAATTCACGCTTTCAAGCAAAAATGAGAATTTTGGAGAAAACTTATATCCACCATTGTGGTATTAATCAATAACAGGATGAGGTTTTTTTTGTTTATTTTTTTTTTTTTTACTGTTGCAGTTTAAACAAAGCTTACATTTCAAGTTAGTCTCCCATACAAAAATTTATACATACATTGTTATGTGACCCTAATTGCTCTCCCCTTACTGTGACAGCACACTTCTCCTTTCCACCCCTGATTCTCCATGTCCATTCAACCAGCTCCTAACCCTCTCTGCCTTCCTATCTCACCTCTTGACAGAAGCTGCCCATTTAGTTTTCTTGTATATACTTGAGCTAAGAGGCACGTTCCTCACGAGTATCACTTTATGTCCCACTGTCTAGTCCAATCCCTGTCTGAAGAGTTGGCCTCAGAAACTGTTTAGTTCTGGGCTAATAGAGAATCCGGGGGCCATGCTTTCCGGAATTCCTCCAGTCTCAGTCAGACCATTAAGTATGGTCTTCTTACTAGAATTTGAGTTCTGCACCCCACCTTTCTCCTGTTCCATCAGGAACTCTCTTTGTGTTCCCTGTCAGGGCGGTCATTGGTGGCAGCCAGGCACCATCTAGTTCTTCTAGTCTCAGGCTGATGAAGTCTCTGGTTTATGTGGCCCTTCCTGTCTCTTGGGCTACTACTTTCCTTGCGTCTTTGGTGTTCTTCATTCTCCTTTACTCCAGGTGGGTTGGGACCAACTGATGCATCTTAGATGGCCACTTGCAAGCTTTTAAGACCCCCAGATGCCACTCACTGAAGATGCAGAACATTTTCTTAATAAGCTTTGTTATGCCAATTGACCTACATGTCCCCTGAAAGCATGGTCCCCAGATCCCTACCCCTGCTACTCTGTCCCTCAAAGAGTTTGGTTGTATTCAGGAAACTTCTTAGCTTTGGTTTAGTCCAGTTGTACTGACTTCCCCTGTAGTGTGTGCCCTCCTTCCCTTTACCTAAGATAATACCTATCTACTATTTAGTTAGTGAATAACCATCACCCTCCCTCCAAACCCTCATAACCATCAGAGAATGTTGTCTTCTGTGTTTTAAACCTTTTCTTGAGTTCTTATAATAGTGGTCTTATACAATATTTGTCCTTCTGTGACTGACTAAATTCACTCAGCATAATGCCTTGCAGATTCCTCCATGTTGTTTCATGGCTTCCTCGTTTTTCCTTATAATTGCATAGAATTCCATTGTGTGGATATACCATAATACGTTTATCCATTCGTCTGCTGATGGCCACCTAGGTTGTTTCCATCTTTTTGCTATTGTGAACAGTGCTGCAATGAACATGGGTGTGCATATACCTATTCGTGTGACGGCTCTTATTTCTCTAGGATATATTCCAAGGAGCGGGATAGCTGGATCGTATGGTACTTCTATTTCTAGCTTTTTAAGGAAATGCCAAATCGATTTCCAAAGTGGTTGTACCATTTTACATTCCCACCAACAGTGTATAAGTGTTCCAGTCTCTCCACAACCTCTCCAGTATTTATTATTTTGTGTTTTTTGGATTAATGCTAGCCTTGTTGGGGTGAGATGATATCTCATTGTAGTTTTGATCGGCATTTCTCTAATTGCTAATGCTCGTGAGCATTTCTTCATGTGTCTGTTAGCTGCCTGAATATCTTCTTTGGCAAAGTGCCTGTTCATATCCTTTGCCCATTTTTTAATTGGGTTATTTATCTTTTTATTGTTGAGGTTTTGCAGTATCTTGTAGATTTTAGAGATGAGACATAGCTAAAAATTTTTTCCCTATCTGTAGGTTGTCTTTTGACTCTTTTGGTGAAGTCTTTTGATGAGGATAAGTGTTCGATTTTTAGGAGGTCCCAGTTATCTAGTCTCTCTTTGGCACTTGTGCACTGTTACTTACGGTTCATCTGGTGTTTATGCCATGTATTAGGGCTCCTAGCATTGTCTCCATTTTTTCTTCCATGATCTTTATCATTTTTGATTTTATATTTAAGTCTTGTATCCATTTTGATTTAGTTTTTGTGCATGGTGTGAGGTATGGGTCTTGTTTCAGATTTTTTCAGATAGATATCCAGTTATGCCAGCACCATTTGTTAAAGAGACTGTCTTTTCCCCAATTACCAGACTTTGGGCCTTTGTCAAATATCAGCTGCTCATAGGTGGATGAATTTATGTGTGGATTCTCAATTCTGTTCCATTGGTCTATGTATCTGTTGTTGTACCAGTACCAGGCTGTTTTGACTACTGTGGTGGTATAATAGGTTCTAAAATCAGGTAGTGTGAGGCCTCCCACTTTGTTCTTCTTCTTGAGTAATGCTTTAAGGATGAGGTTTTTTTAAATATAGTTTGAAATGTGTTAATATTTGGAAAATCTGTATAACTCTGTGAATCAGTATTTTCCAAATGACCAATGCATGGTGTTACAAAATCATACGAAAGTAAAAGAATTCACTCACAGTACAAGACACACCAGTGGATTTTAATGTATCAAATTATGAAAGCTCATTGATATGGCTTCAGAATCCACATTACAACTAGCAATTAGTAGACTACTACTTGTCAGGTTTTGGTGTAGTATCAAAGAATATCCACAATTACCTAAAATGACTATTAAAATATTCCCGTATCAGACCAGATTTTCTTTATATACTTCAGCTAAAATTACATATTACAACAGATTGAAGAAGGGGGTATGAGAAACTGGCTGTTTTATATTAAGCCAGACATTACAGAGATTTTCAAAAATATAGAAAAATGCCACTCTTCTCAATAAAGTATTTACTGTTTGGGAAAATGTACTTGTTTTTCCACAAAAATGTTACTTATGTTAACATATAATGGCTTTATTATTACTGTAATGAGTTACTAAAAACATATTTTAAACTTTTTTCAGTTTTAAATACTAATGTAGTAAATATCAACAAATATACCCTACATAAATGAAAGATCTTTGGGATCCTCAATAATTTTTACAAGTGTAAAGGGGTCCCAAAACTTAAAAAATTGCGAACCGCTGATCTAACCCACGAAAGGTAAAAAGAGGGAGAAGAAGGAAATCTGATATGAAGTTTGAAGAATTAAAGAAGTAACTGATAAATATTACTACATTTTAAGATTAAAGATTTAGCAAATAGGACAGTTGAGCTGTTGTAAGAATTCAGATGAATAAATGATTTGTGGAAGAGGTAATAGTTGAATAAGTTGACAAATAACTAAACTGGGATAGTTGCAGTGGAAATGAACTAAATATAAATGCAAAATAAGTTTAGAGGTAATATTAACATGCTTTGGAAAGAGAGTTGATCTAGGGAGCAAGAGGAGACATCAGGTACAATTTCCACAACATGAATCCAAGGTGACAACAGAAAAAATATTAATAGGAAAGGAATATTAATATTATTTTAACTAGTAAACATGGGAAGAAGAGTATGTTTAGAAAGAAAGAAGAAGAATTTAATTTTATATGTATTGCATTTTAAGTAGCCATAAGACATTGAAATAAGGATTTCTAGCAGCCAATTGAAAATGGGAAACCAGAGATTAGAGACATATAGATTTTGTTGTCATCTACCCAAGGGAAAGAGTTTAGATGAGACTGTTGAGATGAGACAGAGAATGAACTATGTCTTTCTCCGCAGATAGCAAATTTCCACACATGTCCAAAAGTTTCACTTTCCATATTTGACCATTTCTTGTGTTTATATTATGAATATGTTTATATTAGGAAATCGGATCTTATGAAACATACAAATCAGTAGAGAATGAAATAACATTTCAAAATTAGTATATTAGACGGTTATTTACTGACCTTCATTAACAATTTTAAATAATAAATTTTTCTACAATTAGATTCACAACATGCTTTTCAAAAACACATGTCAAAGACGATACACAAGTACTATTAAATAATCAGGAGCCCTGGTAGCACAGTGGTTAAGGGCTTGGCTGCCAACCGAAAAGTCAGAGTTCAAATCTACCAGCTGCTCCTTGGAAACCTTATGGGACAGTTCTACCCTGTCCTCTAGGATCGCTATGAGTCGGAACCGACTCAACAGCGAATATCAACCACAATAACATTAAATAATCATGTCATAATTTTTAATTAATATTCATATTTTTAAGTTACCTCTCTATCTAGCTGAAATGATGTCGTGGTGATCACACCGGTGCTTGGATGCATAGAAAACAGAGTGGGCGATGCGGGTATCTGCTCAATGATGGAGTACTTTAGGCGTGTATGCATCGTGTCAGGTTCATCTTTGTCAGTTGCACATACCTGTCCCACAGTAGAACCTATATATTGAAAAATCCCCTTTAATTTCCAAATCTTTAACATTTTTCAACTTTTCCCTTTATTTCACTCCTCTCCATCTACCTCAAAATAGTGTTGGACTACTTTATTATATATCAGAATAATGGCTTCTATAAATTTTCAAACTTCCATGTTAAGTATCACTTCCTTTTACAATATCCCAAAGTCCTAACAGTCTGGAATTTGGTGACCATACACATATTTAATGCACTTAATTTACAGTTTTACCAATGTTAGTTGTATCCTCCCATGGCCTTTGTCTTTCTAGACTAAAGAATCCCAACTATTCTTTAGCCTTTTAAAATTACACCTGTACTTAAACTCACCATTGGAGTTAGTTTTCTCTGAAAATTCTTAGCTCAGTTAGATCTTTCTAGAAGAAATCTTAGAAACTGCATTCTGAATTCTGACTTTCAGCTAAAATGGACCATTTTTATAAGATTGAGAAAATATTTGTATTATTTTCAAAAGATCTTTAAGATAATGGCCCATACTACTGTCAATCATTCAATCACCACAGAATATCAGTAGGTATCTTCAAGGTTGTCTTCAATTCCTCAAAAATTTACTGGTTTAAGAGTATTTTCTCTTAAAAGTAAACCTAGTTTACCTCACACAGAAATGCAAAGTAACATTTATTGAGCAACTCCTATTCTTCAGACACTATGCTTGGTACTCCATGCCTATTATGCTTCATTTACTCTTCGTAACAATCTTGTGTATCAAAATGCCATTTACAGACAAAGAAACTAAGGCTTGGCAAGATTAAGAAACTTGCCATAGTCACACAACTAGTGAAAGGCTGAGTAAAATTTCACCCAATGCAGCTTGACTAAAAAGTACATTGTTCTCGCCACCAGGACGTGCTACCTCCCACTGGCCACAGTGCAATTTATCTTACGAACTTAAACACATTTAAGGTGCCATACTGTGTAGGGCAAATGGTGAAGTGTTTGTCTACTAGCTGAAACGTTAGCAGTTTAAATCCACCCAGAGGCACCTCGGAAGACAGGCCTGGCATCTGCTTCTGAAAGTTCATAGCCTTGAAAACCCTATGGAACAATTGTATTATGCACATGTGGGGTCACCATGACTTGGAATTGACTCAATGGCAACTAACAACAAAAACAATAAAGTAGAGGGCACTGGTGATTTAGTAGTGTGATTCTGATCTTCCACATGGGAGACCTGGGTTCAGTTCCCAACACCTCAAGTGCTGCCACCACTCCACCATCAGTGGAGGCTTGTGTGTTACTATGATGCTGAACAGGTTTCAGCAGAGCTTCTAGACTAAGAAGGACTAGGAAGAAAGGCCTGGAGATCTACTTTCAAAAATCAGCCAGTGAAAACCCCATGGATCACAATGGTCTGATTCCTTTGTGCACAGAGTCGCCATGAGTTGGAGACCACCTTGACAGCAGCTAACAACAAAAATATACTGTTAAAGTAGGTACTCACCAACTCTGCAATTTTCAACAACTGTCAAAGTGTAAGTAGTTTCTGTAAAAATTGGGTAATTGTCATTTTCATCCTCAATTTTGATTACTAGGGTCAGTGGAAGTTCTGGAGTATACCCATCTGGAGTTGTTGCAAAGGCAATTAGCTGCAAAGAGAAAAGAATGAAAATAATCTATCAAAATAAAACATGGTTCAGATTTGATTGGGCTTTAATTTGGAGAATGTGCATTGCAGCGTGAGTCTCACCACTTATTGTTTTAATGCCAAAAGAGATGGTTAAATTCTTGGTGTAAGATACCATTTTATGTTTAAATTTATCTAATTTAATAGATAAACACATTTTAGGTACTTCACCATTGCTGTATCGTTGTCAGGAGTATAATGGTTTTTATTATTATTTTCCCAAAACAGTTTTGAGGATGTTTTTGCTTTGTTTTGTTGTGTTGTGTTTGAAAACTTTTGGACTTTAAATGCAACTTTCTGGATCTTTTTTAACTTTGGATTCTTTAATAAAGAATTCATCCAAAATAAATGTAAAATCATTAAAACTGAGCTGCTCAAAATGACCAGGTCCCGCTGGGAAACCAAAACACCATTTGGTAAAACTCTTACATATTAACTATCATTCCACTATGGGAAGATGATTAAAAGGATTAAATGATCCCAGGTAAGGACTGTCCATACGCCTTACTTGCTCACCACAAGTCAGCTTTCTTCCATTGCGAAGGTACTGAGGTGTGATACCAGTCCCACATTTACCTCCTATGGTATTTCTGTACCATAAAAAAGGTTCTTTTCTGCCAACCAAATAGCTGCTCTTCAATGTGGCAGTCTTTGTTCTCTTGAAAAAAATAGTAAAACTATAATATCGGGAACCATCAACATAGAATCCAACGTTATTGATTCTTCTATGAAAATTCTCTGTTTCAAGTCAAGTATGTGCTATCAGATATAACCAGAGCATCACATGAGAAACTCAGAAAACAAAAAAGGGTAAATGAACTGAGAAGGAGAGACTAAATGGCCAAGTCTAATACTTACTAATACAATAAATAAACTTTAGACTTTACCTCAAAAGACTCGTACTGCTCACGATCCACAGGACGAGTACAATACAAGTTTCCAGTGTCTCTCTCTACATAAAATAAATTTGTAGGTTCTCGGTCAACTCCAGGCCCTCTTATGGAGTAGTATACAGTGTAGTTCTGTGCCGTGTCAGACTGAATCTAGGAAGCAGATATATACATACGAGACAAATTTATATTTCATCAGAACTTTCATTTATACATCCATGTAATCACATTGCTGTTTATTATTCCATTAAATAATTCACGGAAAATACTTCGTCTTTATTATTACGTATAAATAAAAAGCAGCAGTAGAAAAATGAAGGCTAATAATTGAGAAATTTAAAAAAGAAGCATGTGGAAAATAATGTAGTAGCATCTTAGTTTTCCAGAATAACCAAGGAATACTTTAAAGGCTAAATGACAAGTACATGAACCAAACATTTTTAAATGATGACACTTTCCTGTCTTAGAAAACAAAGCATTCTGACCATGAAAAATGTTTTTTAAAAACCCAGTTTTTAAAAGAACTGGATTTTTAATATACATGCCATAATATTTGATATACTGGCTTTAAAGTGTACTGACTATTGGGCATAACCTTGGAAAATGCTTTCCTTAATTAGTTTCCATTATTTGTCAGTGTCTTCCTTAGGATAGGAACTCAGTAGGAAAAAAAAATGTATGAGTAAGGGTAGAACTGGCATAATATCCTGACAACTGTGATATTCTGGTCTTTAATTCCAAAAGCAATTTTCTTCCAGCTGTTTTCATTCTCTCTCTCAGTAAGATCTTGACTATCTATCAGTGTGGCTAGCACAATTGTTTTTTAACATTTTTTTCCTCAACCTTCAGTATACTCTTTTCTCATCTTTATTAAATCTGTTGGTGGGATATAAAGGAGAATTTTCTCTTACTATTTCAAGAACTGAGAAAAAAGTAACCTAAGTCATAAACTGAATGGTAGCAAGCACTGAGAGTGGAAGAAGACAGGATTTGTTGGGGTTTCTACTAAAAGCCAAAAAAAGAGAGAAGACATGGATCCACTGTGATTTGAGCAGCGGATTTGGGAATAAGTAACATAAAGTTGTATGTGTCTTTCTCCTTTATGACATTTGGCTTTTTATCAGCGATTGTCATCCTTTATTATGGAATTTTTTTTGGATTTTCTAGCTATGCCTAGGCTCTCTGATACCCTTTCTGATATGAAAATCCATTAGGCAACCATGTGTTAAACCCTGTAGATAGTTTTCAGTTTCATAAATGACCCTTGCATAACTAAAACTTTGTAAAAAAATATAAGTAGATATAAATATATGTATTTATACCCATATATCAAAACATACGATGCACATACTCATCCACTCAGTTATCCACACACAACTATTTTTTAAATAACTGCATGCTCAGTGTCCAAAAAAAAAAAAAAAGATGGAAACCATAGACTTCCATAATAGAATAAAAGTAAAACGTGCCTGTTGAAGAAAAAGCGGGAAAGGACCCAAGGAATTCTCTTGCACTGAACAAGGAATAGGAGCCCATCTTCTCTTGGCCCGTCTGAGAACTTTTTCTTTAGAATGCCTTTTCTTTAGTGCCTCAATTTAGAAGACAGAAAAAAGATAAAGTCAATGATTATTTATTTTGTTCGCAAACATTAGAACTCTGATACATCATCCTCTTCTCATGAGAATTAGCTGGGAAGTATAAGACAACGGTAGTGCTTGAAAACCAAACAAAACATCAACACTGCAAAAAAAAGATAATGAAGAATGATAACTGCCTGTTTCACAGCAAGCCTTTTGAGAAAATAACTTGATGGTAATATGGAAGAAAGAGACATGGAAATGGAAGCTTAGAAGAGAAACTAAAAAATAATAATAATGAATTACTATTTCCATATTGCCAGGCAATAACATGGGAGGAGAGATATGCAATGAAGATAAGCGGAGTATGTGTGCTTAAATATAGCACAAACATCTTCCACTCACCAGCAACTAGGCAGAGGCAGGGAACCAACAGAGAGGTCTGTGTCAGAATGAGAGAGAAACGTGGTGACATCTTTCAAATGGCTGCAGTAGGTAATGGTCAAGGGGTGAACAGAAGTCATTTTGATCTTGGGTGTCACAATACAACAAACATGTAAGAAGGGCCAAACCTCAACATAAAGTCATCTGTTTTCTAAGACTACAAATTGTGCTAAAATGGATTAACCCTCCAGAGATAAAAAGTTTCAAAACTGGTTATTGGGCATCCATTCTAGAGTAAATATCAAGAAATGTTTCTTTGTGTCTAATCTCAAATTCTTATGCTGTAGCTTATGGCAATTCCTCTTTTTTATGTCCATAATGAAAAGGAGTAACAACCTATAATGACTTACGGTACACAACCCTTTTCTGTTTGAACACAGTTAAGTTGCCTCAGGGCTTCATTTTTCTTCAAGCTAAGTCATCCCATACCATTTCTGATTGCACATCTTCCCTTGTACTGTTAGTTACACTCGAAGAAAATACATCATGACACTTCACTTATAGTCTGGTGTACCTTTGTTTGATGCTCTAAAACCACAACTATTTTCTTCTCTTGGTTCTCAGCATTGGAAAGAAATATGGTAAAACTTCTCTTCTCCGAGGATAAAAGTATAGCATTTGTTGTATACACTGAGCCATCTTCTAAAATTCGGAAATCAGGATCACTTGAATGAATTAGATTTGCAGAGTTAAAGCACTCCTTTAGGTTAACTGTAGAAAACATACACAACATTCATTTGTAAGTTAAAACATAAAAATATATAGTTTTTCAGTAATCTATGCATTTGGGAGGGAGCTAAAAACTTAAAAATTAATTACACTGTCTTGCAAATGTTGTTATTTTTTTAAAGACTGACAGATCTGTGTGGCTAATTAATTGTGCTTAAACACATACATCACTTGTAATAGCTATTTAACATCCCTTTAAGGAAGAGGTGTTTGTCCTGAGATAAAGGCATCTTAACTCCAGTGCTTGAATATATAACACTGAAAAAAATCTTCTTTATTAAATAAAATAAACTATCAACAAACAAACAAAAAAAAAAACCCCACCGGGCAAGGAGTGGCTGGTGGATTTGAACTGCCGACCTTTTGGTTAGCGCCTGTCTCTTATCCTCCGTGCCACCAAGGCTCCAAAATAAGCTATAGAGTAATACATAAAATACTACTAAATTCTCAATATCTATTGTTAAACAGTCATTATTTTCTCATTGGTTCAATGTTTTCTCACACAGTTGATTTATATAAAAATATGAATCTGTAATGGGCAATATGTAGAAAAAATGTTAATAAGATGCTAAAATATTTTAAAATATAATTCAAAAATAAAACCTTTAAACTCAAAAAATAGTTTCAATACTATTCCTCAATTTGATAGAAGCATTTTATAATATATCCCATATCCTTGATCTAATGAAATACTAATATTTTGTAATAATTAATATTTTATTAACATTTGACTATTTTATTACTCAAGCTAAACCCTTTTATCTACTTCATATTGTGATGTTTTCAATGTTCCTTTCATTGGAGGGATACCACCTGTATTAACAGTTATAATGAACTATATCAATTTTAACTTTTGGTTCCATTACAGTTATGTTTAAAAAATTACACATTTTGGCAGTTTCTTACCTCTACCGATAAATTTCTCAGCATCTAGTTTGGAAGGAACGTGCAGTGTAAATTTTTCACAGGCATCACAGGCCAATGTCAAGAGCTAAAAAATAAAGTAAGTATTATGTATAAAAATACCCTTTTAATGTTTATCAGTTTATATAATTAGAAAATTAAAATAAGCATATACTGGCGTAAAGAATCAGAAAAACTTTTATGGAGGGGAAAAATAAAACAAACTCCCCGCTTCACAAACCATCAAAGCTCAGAAAATTACTTACACTCTTAGGCTGAGTTTCCTATTCTTTAAGATGGAGTTAATAATAACTTCACTGACTAACTTGTTGGGTACAGTGAGGATTAAATAACATCCTATGTAAGTGAGTGCTGAGAACCATTAGGGAAACAGGACAGGTATGTAAATAAGAAAGGAAAACAAAAACGAGTTTAATGAGCCAGCAACATTGGTTCAATAAATTTTCAGTTGCTACAACCACCACAACAATGAGCTATGGTATAAAATTAATAATATCCTAAACAAAAACCAATGTTTTTAGAGAGGATTATTTTATGGCTCTGAAGTAGTTTAGGGAGCCCTGGTAGTGCAGTACTTAAAGCGCTCAGCTGCTAACCAAAAGGTCGGTGGGTTCTTAAGAATTTACTACATTGCAGCCTCAGAAACCCTATATGGGGCAGTTCTACTCGGTGCTATATCACTATGAGTCAGAATCGACTTGATGGCAGTGGGTTTGGTTTGGTTTTTTTATGGAATCGTTTGGAGAGTATTTATATATTAGCTCACTCAAACAAGCACATGACTTTATGAATTTTCAAAGGTGCATCTTCTCATAAACTAGTCATTCTAGAAAAGAATTCACTTAAAAAAAAAATTTTAAATGATTTAGTGATCTATGGTGAACCAATTCCAATATAATATACGTTTCAACATACTGAAATTTAGTTCTGTTCTCTCTGAAACTTTACAATCATATCCATTTCTCCACAATTATGCAAAGGTCTTTGACCAAAAGTAAGATGGCGAACTCTAGCATTTATATTATTTTTTACATGGTCTATAAATGTAAATTAAAACAATCAAAATTCAGATGAAAATTTTTATTTCAAGTAGACATTAAGGAACTTTTAATAATTTAATATAAATTATATATGAAGGATCAGGCAAGGGAGAGATTGTATCTTATTTGGAAATTAGGGATAGGGACACTGAAGAGACTGTATTTGAATGAGAAATTGAAAACTGAGAAGGATTTTCACTGGCTGCATAGCGGAGTGAGAATGAATAGGAGTGGAATTAGATGACGGTGAGGATTCCAGTTCCAGGTGACTGAAAGAACACATCCATGTAATTCAATCAACAAACATTTACTGGTTAATTTCCAGGTGCTAGGCAATGTTTGAGGCTATAAACCAGAACCAAACCCGTGGCCATAGAGTCAATTACGACTAATAGTGACCCTATAGGACAGAGTAGAACTGCTCCATAGGGTTTCCAAGGAGTGGCTAGTGGATTTGAACTGCTGACCTTTTGGTTAGCAGCCGTAGCTCTTAACCACTGCGCCACCAGCCTTCCCCATTTAAGGCTATAGCAATGAACAAAGCAAATCCTTTGCCTTCGCAGAGAAAAAAGTCAATAAACAAATGCAGACACAAATGTCACATGATACCAAAGCAGAGAGAGGAAAATGTTACGAGAAAAATAAAGCAAGGAGAGAGGGTAACAAAGGGAAGATCTGAGGTTGAATGAAGAGAGGAAGCAAACCAATCCCCTAACTGGGGGAAAAGTCTTCCAGGGGGTGTAAAAACCAAAACAAAAGCCCTGGGAAGGAACTTTGCCTGGTGTGTTGGAGGAACCACAAGTAGGCACAGTGAGGGAAGAGAAAGATACGAGATGATATCAAAGGGACCATCAGACATATCATACAGAGTCTAAAAGTCCATGGTAAGGAGTGCATATGTTATTCTGAGTACAAAGAAAAGCAACAAAAGGTTTAGGAGCTGCACAGTGTCATAATCTGGTGAGCAATTACATTTACTGTAAGGGCTAGGTGGAGAATAGATTATAAGGGAGCAATAGAGGAAGCAAAGAGACCAGTTGGAAGGTACTGCAGGATCTAAGAGAGGGATAATGGTGTCTTGGACTAAGGCAGTAACAATGGAGAGGGGAGATGGCTGGATTAAGAAAATACTTTGGATGTCAGTATCTTGGACTTCCATTCATCCATGCATCCAACAATAATCAAGGTCCTCATGAAACAATCCAGGGGCAGCACATATTTGTAACTTCAATATGATAGGGAAAGTACACGGTGCTATGGGAGAGCAGAGTAGGTGGAGCTGGCCTACCTAGTCTAGAAGCCAGGTGAGTCACCTGAGGAGTGGCTATGAATTAGCCATGTCAAGCAGAACTTAAATGTTACCAACATAGAGACAACATATATGAAGATCCAGAGATGACATAGGCAGAAGACACAGATGAGGTAGACAGAAGTTTGAAATGGATTCAGAGAAGTAGATGTGGAACACATTCGGAACAACAGTAATAAAGAATAAAGAATAAAACCAAAGATTTGTTTTAAACAGAGAAATTACAATAAGCAGCTCTATACTTGAGTAATATAACTCTGTTAAGTGTGGAGAATGGATTGGAGGAAAACAAACTTTCATTTCCAATAATGGCAGGTTATGTCATTCAGACAAACTCCCATCCCAACACTAACTGAAAATAATGGATAAAATATATATTTTTTAATATCCTAAAGCATCAAAGAGGTAACAAAATAGCAAAGAAGTGCTAAGCAAAAACTGGAGAGAAAGCTGGAACACAGAGTGGTAAAAAGGAACCTAGAAACAAAACAACTTCTAATCGGAAAAAAGGAGTGAAATCAAAGCACAGGACCTGCCCAAGATCTAAGAGAAGACCTTCGCCACTGTAATCTGGGACCCCCAAATGCTATACCCTCATTGTAAGGCTAAGCCAGAAGTACACTCGCCCTTGCATATGTAATCCACATTCGCATCACCTACTTGGTCCAGAAACCTCAAGCCATTAATTCGTGTAAAGAAAACTGGCATGTAAACATTTCCACAGATCCTGAAAGGCATTCAACCAAATTCAATTAATCCTTTTAAAGAAAAAAAAAAAACCTTCATAAAGCAAGAATTGATGAGTACTTCCTTACTTTGACTTTCTGTGATAATCACAACCCCAATGAGACAGCACCAGAGGCAGCCCCGCTAAACTCCGAGACAAGATAGGCTCGCCAACGTCATCACCTTCTGTTAACAACTCACTGAAGGCGTATTAGGCAAAAGAAAGGTACTATATGCACATCAACTGCTAAGGTAAAAAATAATCTCTATTTACATTTGCTATGACTGTATACCTGGAAATCCCAAGCAAATCAACCGGCAAATTACTAAAAAGCAACAATTCAGTAAGGTACCAGAAATAATTATTAAAATGCAGAAATCACTAGTCTTCACATACATAAACAAAACCAGTTAGATAATATAGTGGAAGGGGGGATATAATTTTCAAAAGCAATAAAAGGTTACAATGCTAATTTAACAAGAGAAACCTGTAAAGCTTATTTGAGGAAAATCTAAAAACATTTCTAAGAGAACAAAAATAGACTTGAACAAAAAGAAAAGGCATGTCATGATCTTAAACAGGAAAAATCAACAGCAGAAGAATATCAATTCTCATAAGTTAAACTATAAAAGTTACATGATCCCAATTTCTGGACCTAGATAAACTGGTTCAAAAAGTCATAAGGAAAAATAAATTTAGATAGGAAAATTATGAAAATGAAGAGCAGCAAAATGATACTAGACCTAGCAGATTTTAAAGCAATCAGTGAAAATAATTAAAACAGTAAACAGTACGGTACTGGGTTAT